CCCCACAACGGAAGCAGCATCCCTGCTTGGCCATACCTGCTCAGGATCATTAGAGCCTGCCCATCATCCTTGCTGTTACACAGATCCACGGCATTGGCTTCCAGTATGGCCAAGCCCAGCTGGAAAATGGCTTTGATCCCATCGTAAAAGAAGCAGTCCACAACATTCACAGCACTTTCTAGGGGCATGATGCTAAGGAACAGTGTAAGGAACCACGAAAGAGAAATGGAAGCTAAAGTAGTCAGATCCTTCATATGTTCAGCCAGCTCTGGAAGCTGCTCCTTTATAAGCTCTTCAAACACTGACTGGTCTACCTGAGCACCTGCAATTCAGAAGGACAGAGTATTAGCCAAGACTGACACAGGAAAATAAATCCTTTAAAGCTGATGATTGCTGTTAACAATCAACTTCAAGACTTCCTTAAAATTTACACTGACAAGATATGCACACATCTACAATAAAAAATCCCATTATCCTCCTGCTGTGATCTCAGCCCCAGCCCTAATGTCCATCATCCTTACTGTACAACTTTCTGCAAAAAGACCCCGTTGATTCTGCTAAGGGCCTTTGAGGTGCAGTGAAATAGTAATAGCAGCAGCTGTTGTTTTTTTGGCTAAAAGAGCACATAATAATTCAGTGCCAGCAAAAGCAACCTTCAAGCATTTTACTGCTCAACTTGATATCTACAATAAAAATAAGACAGTGCACATTCCTCTCCAGTATAAGCGCTCAAGCAAGCGGGCAGTAGAGCCTTCATTCTAAGTGAGAAAATATAAGATGGAAATCCAAATATGGCTACACACACTAAGCAGGAAGAAAAATACTTGCACACATAAATATATGTATTTAGATGCACATATATTTTTGGAACAAAAGTTTTCTACAGTGCCCAGAAGTAAGTTTTTCTTGTTTCAGCTACTAGAATCAATATAGTTTCATATTGCTGCAGTGGCCTGCATCTACAAACCAGATCTGCCACATTAGGGGCTTTAACTGAAGACAGCAGAAGTTAAAAATGTTCCCAAATACAAGATGCATTTAGCTTTTCAACTCTTTTGTCTCTCCCTTCAGTTATTTCTTTTTCACAGTCCATATTCTGCTAGTATTAGGAGACAACTTCAATTGCTGTGAAATTCCTGAGACATATATACCCTTAGTTACTCAAAACTTCTCTTGTCCAAAAGCAGAAATAACCTGAACAATTTGTGGCTGAGAGCCAGCATCTTTTTGGCTTTGCATCCAAATAATTAAAAAAAACAAACCAACAAAAAACACAGATACTACATTTCTCTGTCTTAGAACTTTTCACATCAAGCCACAAAGAGCTTTTGCTGGTGGATAAACAAACATTACTGCACTGGAAATCAAAAAGTGCCCAGGAACATGCAAAGAGCTTTTTAGAAACACATCAAGCATGATACTTTGCTTAGAAGAAAAGGCCTTCTTGTGTCAAAAGGTCATAAATAAGAAGGCTAGAGAACAGAGGAGAAAACAGACTGGGTTTACTCAACAGAAGGCAGTTTTTGTCTGTGTTTTTTTTAACAAGCTTAATACAAACAATTTAATGGCCATAGTTAACATGGACCCAAAAAATAGAGCCAGTTTGAGGGGTACTTGAAGAAAGCCAGATACATATAAAAAGAACATTCCAGACTCAGAGGCAGCACTGGCAAAAGCAGAGGTTTAAAAGGAATGTGGGTTAAAAGGAATGTGCAGTGCTGCCCAGATTTTTTGCAGATCTTAATTATAATAATATTGACAACATAGACAAAAGTCTAACAGGTGTATTCCAAGTGACTTTTATGGCCAGCTTTTCATTAGGCTCCTAAAACTATGGAATCAGAGCAAGTGAATCTCTTGATTTATTATAGCATGACACCATGACAACGTAGGAAAATAGCAGGGTAATAATTCAAAAAATGATGACCCAAGATGTAAACTAAATGACATCTCCAAGACCAAAAAAGCAAATCAGAGAAATGAGTTTTTCAGTGTTTGAAGAATTTCAAGAATTATAATGACAAGATGATGACAGTCTATCAGATAAAGTGGGGTAAGATGGCCTGCTGCCTTATGCAGAGGATGGAAAAGTCATGGCATAATGAGAATAGGATGTGCATGAACCTTGTCACCACTCTTGACCTAAGTGCAGCTTGTTTCTGCCTTGCATCTGATTTCCTCTATGCATTGCAGAAGGGAGAAGGACAGAGGGAGTTCTTGAAGAGGAGATAACTGGTGCCAGACCTGTCTGCAGGCTTTTTCCATTTGTAAGCAATGAAATGATAGAATCATAAAACAGTTTTGGTTGGAAAAGACCCTTACGATCATCAAGTCCAACCATTAACTCAGCACTGCCAAGCCCACCACCTAACCATGTCCTTGAGCACCACATCTACACATCTCTTGATACCTCCAGGAATGGTGACTCAACCACTCTCATGGGCAGCCTGTTCCTGTGCCTGAAAACCCTTTTAGCAAAGAAATTTTTTCTAATATCCAAAATCAACCTCCCCATGCACAATTTGAGGCCGTTCAATCACTTGTCACTAGGAAGAAGAGACCAACCCCTCCCCCTCACTACAACCTCCTTTTGGGCAGTTGCAGAGCACAGTAATATTTCCCTTCAGACTCCTTGTTTCTAAGCTATACAACTCCAGTTCCCTCAGCTACTCTTCATAAGGAAAAGGTTTTTTTTCAAGATAGAGCTGTCATAGCTGGCGAGGCTGAAGGAGGGACATGGTCATGTGGTAAAAGCAAAAAGGTCGAGTAAGACTGAATTGCTTAGGTTTTGAAAGCAAAAATTAAAAAGAAATAAATTTGAAAAACATTCTGAATGTCAAAGAAAAGGCCCAAGGAAAGATGGAGCTTAAGAAGGCCTGGAACATCCAAGGTCATTAATTCAGTAGCTGTTTTGACTATAGAGATTACTGTCTGACATTGAAGAGGAAATGCACAGTGACGGGTACCAAGGTCAGAGATCACCAAAGCTATAAAGAGATCAAAATCTAGACAACCGTGTTGGCAGTGTGGTCAAAGAGGAAAAGTTGAGTCTTTGTAGTGTTATGCAGGAAGAAACAATACAACCTTTAGAAAAGAGCTTGTTGCAAATCAAAAAAAGAAGCTCAACTGGAATGTTAAGCCAAGAACATCAACTCAAGCAACAGGAACCAGAGGAGGGGCAGGGTGGAAAAGATCAGTAGCACTGATTTGGCCATGCTAAGGTCTAGAGTACATCAAGCTGCAAAAGTAACTGCTCAGTGAAGCAACCATGATGCAAAACTGTATTGCTGCTGTTTGACACAGGGCAGTAGGGGAACTTGTGAGCTGAAGCCTCTGCTTTAACTTACCTTCCCTGCCAGTTTAGTGACAAGACAATAACAGCAGTGGCAGAGTGCCAGGAGGGAGGTTTGACAAAGCAAAAAGGTTGCAAGTCTTCTGCTCCCCAGACAGCACAGGAATGACCACACCATTTCTAGCTCCCAGAACCACCACTGCCAGGGATTTTCCTCCTATCCCCACCTCCTCACAAGTGTCCTTGATCCCTCCCTTTTGATATGGGGATGGTGTAACTGCAGACACTGTACGTAAAGTTAGCATGAAGGAGGGAGAAGCTATCAAACACTTCTGCAAGGGGAAGAAGTAAATTGTCTGCAAAGAACAAATACTCTTTCCTGCGTTACCTGCAACTATTTTCTCAATCTGCTGAGCCCTGCTCTGTGTATCAGCCAGACATTCATGCAAGAGTCTTAAAAACAGTTGCACTGCAAAGAAGAGGAGACACAGCACATGCAGTACAAGGCACACACACTGCAGAGCCACTGGGCTTATTTCTTAATGCAGCATCTCACATTCAGAGGATTTTATATCAGCCCTCATTGCCAAGGGCCAGTTTAGATGCAAGCCTATATTACTCCAGCAGCCAGGCAAGGCAGACAGGTCAGATCTGAAATAGCTACCTTAGCAGATCTTTCCTAGGTCCATCTCAAACAGCTCCAGTCTCTAATACTGAGCACTCCTAACCAAGACACGCCAAGCTCTTCTATTTTTACCTAAGAGCAGAAGTGCTGTGGCCTTCTGACCAACAGGAAAACAAACAAAAACATAAAAACTAACTTTATAACTCCTGCAGTTCTAACCCTTCAACCCAAACTCAACCCTATCTGGAACCTGAGCAGCCACTGCTGCTGTCCCTGCACCCTGTGCAAGTCAATGGACCACCTCCTCACCTGTGGGGTCTGGACCTCAGAAGACCTTAATCATTTTACTCAGCCCTTCCCAATTAGCAAGAAAAGAAAGATGAGCTCACCTATCACTCGGTGGTTGAAGTAATCTGGCAGCATTCGCTCACAGACAGCAACCAGCAGCCAAAAGGCCTCTTCCTCTTTGGCATACAACAGCAACACGGAGGTCAAAATATTCATAGACTTACCAGGGCAAAGAAGAAAATGGGATTTGTTAGTGATAGCAAATCCTACTGACAAAAGCTAAAGTGTGGCTATTTTTAAAGAAAGAAAAATAGCCTAACATGATGTAAATAACTCAGGGGAAAAAAAAAAAACAACACACCAGCAAGAGAAAGATAATAGACAATGAACACATAATTGCAACGCAAAGGCTTAACAAGTTTTTCAGGGTTATGTATATTGCTTTTCCTAAGAGCCATAGGGAACAACAAAGAAAAGCACAGTACTGAATTTGCCCAGGTACAAAGTAAGAAACTGATAGTCTAAAATGCTTTGGGGCTGCTTTCCTGCCCTCCCTGTATTTTTATTTCAAAGGAAGATTAGGGATCTGGAACTGGTTTGATGTTAATCAGAATTTAGGGAGCTACACAGAAGGTAATTATTTTAGCTGGCCAGCTGGGCAAACTACATCACTTATCATCAATTTTGGAAGAAGGCAGCAGAACTTTTGTTCATTAAACCTCTGTTCCAGTGCTCTACATGAATCTCATCTGTGCAGGGCATTTTACTTTGCACTGTCTCCAAGTATTGGGTAAGAAATGCCCTTTCAAACTAATCAGAAGCATCAGACCCAATTCTGCCCCCTCCTTGAACTCTTAACTGCAATTTGCAAAACGCTCAGCAAAGACTTTTTTCAAGCCAGAGTACCACCCTATGCACATGTTCTCCGGAGTAAATCAAAGCCTCTAAAATCACATCATTTCTGTAACTGGAAAGACATTATTTATCAAAACCGCCGTGAAAAATACCTTCCAAGAGAACAGTACAACTCGAGAGTCTGGGAAGCTGGAGGGGGGAAAGAAAGCAGGGAACATTACCCTGCTGGGGGGTTTTTCACCTGGCAGTATCCTATTTTGGGGTTCCTGTGTGCGTAGGCCGTGAGCACCCGTCTCAGGGCGGCGATGCCCGTCTCGCTCTGGAAGGCGGGGTGCTCGGGCAGCGAGCGGTGCAGGTCGCGCTCGATCTCCTCGGTCGCCATGCAGCACTTGCCCATGGAAGCCTCCACCAAGTGGACGTAGTAACCGGGGTGCGAGGCCAGATCCGTCACAGCATCTGAAGGCAGCAGGGAGGCAGGAAGAGGCAAGCGGGTTAGGACGATACTCAGCTTAAGCGCCACGCTTATGAAAGGCTCCAAAGGGCGTAAGCAAGATGGTTCTCCCCCAAAGTCTGCGAGTTTAGAGAAATCTCCAGACCTAAAAGAAACAAAGTCCTAGCAGAACAGGTGTCTCGAAAACAAAACCAGTATTAGCAAAGCATGTATGATGCAACATTACTCAAAACACCTTAATATTGACATTGAGAAGAAAAGTTCCCCAGCAGAAAGTATCACCTGGAGAAATGTACTCAGCTGCTGTTCACACCCTCCAAGGAGGAAAAACTCCACATGAAGGAATACTTTTTACCAATGTTTGAACATGTTGTATACTGAATTAAGGACTAAACTTTCAGATCATATTGTAAGCACAGTCTGTCTCTGCCAGATCTGTGGATGACACAAGCTGTTTTTTCCATCTCCAGTTTCTATTACTCCTGCCAACATTCAACAAGAAGCAGGAGCAGGACTGCTGACTTTAAGATGTCATTATTTTGCAATAATTTGATTTGTCTAGGATTAAACCAATATTTATGCTACAATCTAATTGCTGCTTGAAGATGAACATGGTTTTATGAAAACATGACATTCATTTTAAATTACACAGATGAAGCAGATGTTACATCAATTCTTCTGTACATCATGTCATGTCATCCAGAGATAAAATTTGTACAGATCTGCCTAGGTACTTCCTTGCACTACTTAGTTCAGTAGCTGATCATCTCTCTTCTGTAAGCATTATCATAAGCTCCTTGTGATTGACATTTCATTGCCCTTGGGAGGCTTCTTGCCTAAATGTTTTGCCATGGGCAGAATCAAATGATGCTACAGCCAACATTTCAGAGCATGCCCACCTGAGAAGAGCAGCCAGAGTTTGCCTCTTAAGGATTCAGGAATTCCCATTGCAACGAGTTTTCTGATCTTCTCTGTGCGAAACATGCACACAGTTCTGCCATATTCCACGAAATGGTCATCCCACAGACTCTCTTTGATTTGCTCCCTAGACTGGGAACAAGAAGGTGTCTTTTAAAACAAGACATTGGGTGCACGTGAGAACTAGTAAACAAACATTTATCGTATTAGAAATTGTGCAAAGGATTTCCATTACCCGTGGATTTGAGAGGTCTGCTCTAAGGACTACAACTTTCCCCATTTTGCACATGGAATTCACCACATGAGGGGTGAGCAGAACTAATCAGACAGGGAGAAAAATTATAAATGCCCACTGTCTGGAAGTGTTCAAGGCCAGGCTGGATGGGGCTTTGAGCACCCTGGTCTTGTGGAAGGTGTCCCTGCCAATGGCAGCAGGGTTGGAACTAAATGATCATTAAGGTCCCTTCCAGAAAATACATTCTATGATTCACCAGAAGGAAATGGAGGGAAGCAAGAAGAAAAAAATCCAAGCAAATAGAAAAGCTGTTATCTCATATCTAACTTCTCCAGCCAATACAGAGTTCAGTTTATTAAAAACGCAGTATCTGTTTGAATGTCACCCCATTTTTTTTCATAAAAAAACCCAAACTCTTACAAGTTCCCCTAAATTTTACATACCTTTCCAAAATCAAGGCCCACTGTTCCTGACTGATGAAAGTCTGATCTTAGTGCTTCTGCATTGAGCAAGTAATTGCTCTCCTTTCCACATTCACTTCTCTCTGTGGTTTGTGAAGCCTCTGTTCCCAGACATACAGGCTCACTATCCCTGAGCATGCAGGTGGATCCAAAGACAGGAGCATTCTGCAACACAGAATTGTTGGGTTGTTGGGGGCTGTGTCCAGTTGAGTAACACCACTGCACTCTGCACTCTGGGCAGCCTGGTCCAGGACTGCCCACCTTTGAGGGGAGATCTTTCTCTTTTTATCTAACTGAATTTTCCCTTGCTGAAACTTGTGACTGTTGCCACTTGCCTTTCAGCTGCCACCTCCCAAGACGAGTCTGGCTCCATCTTCTCTGGAAGGTCCCACAAGCTAGTGGAAGACAGGCTGAACAAACCCTGCTCCCTCAGTGTCTCTTCATAAAGCATGTAATCCAGCACCTGACCAGCTCATGGGTCTCCACTAGACTTCAGTTTGTCAATCCTTTTCTTGTGTAGTGGGGTAGAGTCAAAACTGGATACAGTACTCCTGATCAGTCTCAGATGTGCTGAATAGAAGGGAATAGGACCATTTCTTGGCCTGCTGGTTACACTCCTGCTAGTGTGACCCCATACACTGCTGACCCTCTTCACTGTGAGAGCACACTGCTGACTTACAACCTGTGGTTCACCATGAGTCCCTCTCCTTTTCCACGTGGCTGCTCTTCAGCCAGCCAACACCCAGTCCCTCCTGTTGCATGGGGTCACTCTGCCAGGCTTCTCATTTGGTTTTGTTGAATTTCATTAGGCCTCTATGAGCCCATTCTACCAGGTCATTGAGGTGGCTGTGAAGGGCAGCCCTGTCTTCCAGCATATTCACTACTCTCCCCAGTTTTTATGTCAACCATGCTGCCGGTGCACTCTATCCCATCAGATAGGTCATTAAAGAGGGCACCAGACAGCACTGGCCCAAGATCAACCCCCTGAGGAAGGCAGGACAACAGACCAATGGGTAAACACACTCAATTCTTAATAAAAAAACCCTGACATTCAGTACCTGGTTGTTATTTTGCAAGTTGTTACAGTGCATTGGGTTGCTCAAGTTCACTTCTTTTAGCCTTTGGAGCAGATTCTCCACCAATGTATCCCGGTCCTTCAGCTCGATGAACTGAAAGGCCATCTTGCTCCTTATGCTAACAATGATGGGATTAGGAAGAAGGCTCGTGTCCTCCATCTTCTCTATACTGATTACCTTTTCCAGAAACATTATAGAAAATACATTATGCATCACATCCACAGAAATGTCTTCAAATATTCTACACGTACCAAAATATACCAAAAAAGCATTCATTTACACACACATGCTTTAAACATGGTTATTCATGTTCAGTAGTTGATCAGACACATCCTGCCACATGAAGCTTATGGTATCACTAGAAGCTCAAAGCAGGCACTAAGAAGTACCCAAGCTGCTTTTTTTTTTCCATTTATTTTTTTAAAGGACTTTGAGGCCCACTTCTAGAGGGTGGACTGAGGGTAAAGAAAGGGGACTGATGATTAAAACAAGATCTAGAAAATGATCAAATTGATAAAATTCTGGGGGAAGGAGGAGAAAAATTACTTCCACGCTACTGAGAACAGGGGAAAACAGTGGTTTTGTTGGTTCTGATTAAGTATACAATGCTGTTCTCTGTATTCTATTTCTTTAACAGTGGAAGGTAAGTTGCTACAGTTAAGATATTTCAGTGTTACTTTGTTATTAGTATAGGATGAAAGGAAAGCATTGATTAAAAGATATTAACAAGCTTGTATCCACAGCAGATCAGGGAGGTGTTTACTGACAGTTTCCTTCTCCTCTTCTACTCCCACCACCTTCCCATGCACCCTCTATTCCATTTAAACAAGTTTCCGATCTCATGGAAATACAGCAGCTCACCCTTGTCTCCAGAACATCTCGTTCTTCTCTACCCTACAGGTCTGTCAAGTATCCACAGGTTTGCTAGAGTCTGCCTATGGAGGAAGAGCTTCAACACCTCTAAGTGTTGACCCCAGGCAAGGATGCTTTTATATTGCTAAAATGGGTCCAAGCAGAAGCCTCAATCAACATCAAGCTGAATGTCTGGGAAGACCGTCCCAAGGCTTGGACCAAGCATCCTCTGGTTGTGCAGTGCTCTGTCCTGCTGTACTACCTGTCCATCACTTTGAGGATCATGTTGAATCACCCAGATTTTTAGGAACTCCTATCCCAGTGAATCCCAGAACAAGCTTTACAACAATCCTGTAGCACAATCCACACAAACATCCCACTCTCTGACAGTGGGCAGCTCAACTGTAACAGCAGGTGCTTACAGCAGAAAAAGGCAGATACGGACTCAAAATCAAACAAACAAAAAACTCTACCTCTCTAAGTGGGATGATAACATTGCAGCAGCCATTTTCTTTGCTGGCAAAACAGATATAACTGTCTGAAGTATATATCTTTCCTGCTGTGTGACAGCGACTAAACGGCGTCCAGAGAGAACAGTCTACAACTTCATGCAGCTTCTCCTTCCTTGGCAATCTGAAGAAGGCCCGAAAGAATTCATTCTGTGCTCTGGCTTCAAGATCCCTTAAGAGAAAGCAGTAAGAGCTAATCACAAGACCCGGAAAGCCAGGACATCCAGTGCAAGGTTGGTTTTCTTGTTAGCCTCACCAAGAGCAAGGAATACAGAATAAAAGCACCGTGTACAGCAATCTTCACTGCCTATGTGAACAATAAAAGATCAATAAAAGACCGACTTTAAAATGCAAAAAATAATCATTATCAACACTTGCTCGTTTAACAATAAGAACAACAGCTACTACTGTAGTGACTAAGAAAGGAAAAGACACTATGTTTAGTTAATTGGTATGTTGGGGGGAAGGTGTTTAATTATATTTTAGCCATGCATTTTCTATGGCTGCTGCACCACTTTCCAGCCTCAAAGGCTTACAGATTTCAATGCCCAAGTGATAACTGAATCTTTCATCTGATGAAAACATACACAGAGCAAGTGATTAGCCTTATGTTCCTTGTGTCCCTTCCCAATAGTATCACCCCAGGGATTTGCACCTGCACCCAAAAATAATGCATTTGCTCAATGAGTATTTCCAAAGTGGTCAGTAATAAAAGTTAATGATGGTAGTATTTAAATCATCGTATCCTTGACTTGCAGAGGTATCAGCCTCCAAAGGCCCTCAGAACAGTTGCAAAATGCAGAAGAGTTTCAGGTCACTTACAGACTCAGTTGGGAATAACAGCACCAGCTACATTCAGTTTGGACTTGGTTCCTTCCAGTCACCTATCCTCATTTATGTGGAGAGAAGAAGTTTAAATAAATGAAGCTTTCATTACTGAGTTATGGTTATACAGACTTGACTTCGATTATTTTTTTCCCCTTCTTTTTTAATGAAGAAGTCTGCAGTAATTTAGACAATTATATTATGAAAAGGCCATGGCTATTACCAACAGCAGCTCTAGAAACATTAAGGCTTACATTCTATCATTTTCTTTACTATGAGTAAATTTTTCCAAACATGATTCACCTTAGGGAAAATAAAAAAAAAAAAGTGCTTTACTTTGTTCCACTGAAAGAATTCAAAGCGTGGGCTGAAGCATAACAGGGAGTGGTACCTTGGTGCTGTAAATCCCCTCTCTGGTATCTCATTCACCCTCCTGTTCTCCAGACACCTTCCCCTTACCCTGATGTTTAAACAAAGTTGATACAGACAAAGCCTCTGCTTTAGTAAGTAAATCAATTGTGTAGGAGTTGGGTTTTTTTTCAATTTCATCTGTAGAGAAAACTAAAGACATGTGAACCAGGGAGGAAAACAATCAAGAACAAACTGAGACCCAAGAAGGGTGGATCTGTATCTGCAACCAACAGAAAAGACAGAATGTGCTCGACCTGTGTTTGGCTGCAGTTTCCTTCTAAAGCATTATCTTCCTTAATAAGATTATCCAAGGAAAACAGACAAATCATCTCCTGTTATTTCATGAAGAACAAAGAGAAACTGTCTTTGTGAAGGAAGACAAAAAGTTTGCTTGTGAGTTAAAACTCCACAGTGAAAGCAGCACTGATTAAGTGCCCACAGCAATCTGCTATTGTGACAAAGCTGGATCAGGATATGCCTCCTAGCTAACTCACCACTGAAATATTTTCCATTTCTGCACAGCACAGATGAATGCTGCTGATAGCATCTGCAGTCAGGTTCGGGTAGTGCTGTGCTCTCCTGCTATTGTGCTGAGAAGGTAAGATCCTCCCTGAATCTACTCAGTTGTGAAAATTTCTACACCTTCATGTGAGAAGAGGCATTCTTCTGAAGAGTGGGACCTCTGTTGAGGCAGGGACTGTCTGTTATTTAAGAGATTACTGTTTCAGATGCTCCAAAATCTGCAGTTGCTGAATTTTCAGGATGTTACTGCATGTCTTGGGGCTGCAGGCTCCAGGTGTGGGGCCCTTCAGACAAGAAGCCACAGGTTTTTAAGCTGAAGAATGACATTTCCTGTATCTGAAACTAAGTACATTCACTGAGCACTGCGTCCAGCTCGCTCACCCTGTACCGGGGGAAGGCTGCCAACCCCAACATCCCTGGAAGTGCCTGTCCCCCATGAGTCACAACACAGAGTCACGCAGGGCCACCACAGAGACCACACAGCACCCAGGGCTGCCCCAAAGCCAAGTGCCCAAACAGGGGCCAGCCTGCTGCTGGGAAGGATCCCAGCAAGGCAAACAGTAGCACAGTGCTGTCAGCACCCACTGCTGCGAGCTCAAACAAGAGGCTTTATTAGAAAGTGGCACACGGAGAAAATATTTCCTGTTTGCCAGGCAAATTCTAGGGCTTCAAGCAATTGCTTCCCTTCATAAACAGAGCCAAACAAAATTAGAGCTGGTTAAAAAAACCCCAAACCCTATAAATCTTAAAAAAAACCACAAATGAAATTAGCTCCTAAAACAAGACACACAATTGTTTAAAATACGTTAAAGACCAAGCAACCAGCTCAGATCCCACAGCTTCCATTTTGAGTTTCACAATACCTCCAGTGCTGAACAGAAGCACAACCTTCCTACCTGCAGCCCAACCTGTTTGAGCTTTTTTCTCCAGCTTAACAATTTCCAAGGAAGTTTGGTTTTCAAGGAAACACAGCATAGTGAGCTGTATTTAAGAAGAGGAATGCTATCATTATGTAAAAATAACGTTTACTGAGTGTTTACACACACATCAGAAGAATGAAAGGTGAAAAGATGCAGTTGCCTTGTTCCCTACTTTTCAGAAAACTCAGCAATTCTTTCCAAGTGCAGTTCCCGACTTGCAGGTTACGGGATCCTGGACTGCCTCCAACTCCAGCACTTCAAAGAGAACTGCAAGTCTGAACTGCAACAGCTCCTTGTGTATGACCCCTATTTTACCTTCCAAGAGTTTTTAAATTAAAGGAAATAACACCCAAGACTAAAAGAATGCCTGAAAGTATCAGGGCACTTAAAATTATGTCCTCACTGTCCAGTGTTTTTCTCTACAAGATTTTAGCTCTACTGAGTCACTTGTTACCTATCTAAAATCTAAAGAGATTGGCTGACCTCTTGCTTCTAGAGACCAATTACTAGACTTTTCTTGCTATTCAGACTCCAGAAAGTTACATATTTTGGAAATAACATATCCAATGATATGTCTTATTTATTAGAAGAACTGTTAAATTCACATGGCAAGAAAAGTTTCCCATATACAAGCTGGGAGAAGTTACCTAAGAAGAGCCAATATGGATTTGTCAGGACAAATGTAAACCCAACATAAAGGACAAATATAAACCAAACATAATTCCCTTAAGTAGCAGGAACACTGGACTTATAGATGGAGGAGATGTGATATTTTAGCCAGCCCTTATGAAAGTCTTGGGATTTCCTCACATGGGAATTAATAAAATTAGATTGAAGTAAAAAGCTACTGTACCAAGCCAGCTGGAAAGAGTACCCCAAAAAGCAGCCCTCAGAGTCTCCTCGGTATAATGGAAGGCTAGATCAAGAAGACCTCCTTGGGGGTCTGCCCTCGACTACCCTCTGTTCAATGTCTTCATCCTCAATCTGCATAATGGATCAAGAGGTTGTTGTTATTAAACTTGCACATGACATGAGGCTGGTAGCAGAAGAACAGGACCATAAACTTAAGGGATGGTGTGGAAAAAAGCATTACAAGTACTTTCAGCTGTACAACCGCAGCATGGAGATCAACTCCACCGGCAGTCAGTCAGCTAAAAGAAAAGACTGAAGGGTTACACGGGATCACAAGCTGAAGAAAAGCCAGCAGCCTTGCACTCACGGGAGGAAGAGGAGCACCGTGCCAGGCAGCAGAAGCACGTGGCCACCAAGATGCAGCATGTCAGTCCTGGAGTTGCTGCAGAAATGGCCATGCAGCTCCTGCCCTGGTTAGCACCAGCAAGGCTCCAGAGGCAACCCTGTATCACAGAATCACACAGTCACACACAATCACAGAATAGTAGGGTTTGGAAGGCACTCCTGGAGATCATCTAGTCCAACCTCCCTGCTAGAACAGGATCCCTTCGAGCAGATTACACAGGAACACATCCAGGCGGGTTTTGAATGTCTGCAGGGATGAGGACTCTACAGCCTCCCTGGGCTGCCTGTGTCAGTGCTCCCTTAACCTCAGAGAAAATAAGTACTTTCTTATATTTAGGTTAAACCTCCTGTTTACCAGTTTGTGACCATTACATCTTGTTCTGTCACTGGACACCACTGAGAAGAGGTTGGACACATTCTTCTGACACCTACCCTTTAGATATTTATAAGCATTGATGAGATCCCCCCCTCCATCTCCTTTTCTCCAAACTAAACAAACCCAGCTCTCTCAAGTCTTTCATCATATAGCAGATGCTCCAGTCCCTTAATCATCTTAGTGGCCCTGTGCTGGGCTCTCTCCAGTAGTTCCTTGTCCTTGAACTGGGGAGCCCAGAACTAGACACAGTACTCCAGCTGAGGCCTCACCAGGACAGAGCAGATGGGGAGGATAACCTCCCTCTACCTGCTGGCCACACTCTTCTTAATGCACCACAGGATGGCACCGGCCCTCTTGGCTGTGAGGGCACATTGTTGGCTTATGGTATTCCACCACCTCACAACTGTATTTGCCTGGGATAAGTGATGGGTATCCAGAGGAGAGCGAACAGAAGGGCTAAAGTCAGGACCAATAAGAAAAACCTGGCTGAACCAGGGCAATGCAGTTTAAAGAAGATAAAGGAGATGCGTACTAACCTCCAAACACACAAACGGTTGCTCAACAGAAAGAGAGAACAGCTGATCTCTTTAATAGTACTGGGTAGGACAAGAAGTAACAGACTCAAAAAGCAGGATTAAAGATGCAAATTAAACTGCAGAAAGACTTTTTAATGATAGGGCAAAGAAAGAACGGTATGGATGCTGATATTTCCATTACTGTAAATCCTCATAAACAGGTCAGGCAATCATCTGTCACCTGTGATACAGTGAGATAATCCAAGACCTGTCTTTGGCCAGGCAGATGCAATAAAAGCAGAATGTTCCTAGTCACTTCCTCCCTGTAGCTCAAGGTTTATAGCATTCTTAGATTCCTTCTCTGAAGGAATTAATGCAGACTGAAGTGACATTTATGATTTCAGATTCTTCAAACAAACAGTTTCCATTCTGCTTAGATCAGCATTAAAAACCTTCTTTGCCTTCATATGAAGCAAAGCCATCCTCACTGGTAATTCATAGTTAGACATGAAGAAAAGAAACAAAACTGAGATGGTTAAAGCCTGGAGAAAGGGATCATACTTTTGAAACCCTACTGACACCAGCACTAAAGCTTTTAAATCACATGTTCTGCTCTAGCCAATTTCCTTGCTACCTTTGACGAATGCAATGGGTATTCTCACATCCTGAAAGAGACAGAAATAAAAAGCACAAGAAATCTATACCAGAGGTTTTAGCAGCCTTCTTATTAAAATAAAATATAGTTACCATATGTTCCAGCAAAATTATATGGCACATAAATATATGTCGAAAAATGGTATTTATAGTTTTCAAACACCTCAGTTTCACTTTCCTTTTTATGGCAATTAACTTAATTTCCACTGATCCTTTTGTAATCCATTGTTCCATACCTTGTAATAGAATCACAGAACCATTTTAGTTGGAAAAGACCTTTAAGTTCATTAAGTCTAACCACTGACATAGCACACTGACAAGTCTACCACTAAACCACGTCCCTAGGCAACACACGTACATGTTTTTTAAATATCTCCAGGGATGGTGACTCAACCACTTCCCTGGGCAGCCTGTTCCAGTGCCTGATAACCCCTTCAGTGAATAATTTTTTTCTAATATCCAAAATAAATCTCCCTTGGCACAACCTGAGGTTGTTTCCTGTCATCCTATCACTTGTAAATTCGGAAAAGAGAGCAACCCCCACCTCATCACAATCTCCTAGCTGTAGGGAGCAGTAAGGTCTCCCCTCAGCCTTCTTTCTCCAGACTAAACAACCCCAGTTCCCTCAGATGCTCCTCATAAGACTTGGGCTCTAGCCTCTTCATCAGCTTCACTGCCCTTCTTTGGACTTGTTCCAGAACCTCAATGTCCCTCTTGTAGTGAGGGGCCCAACACTGAACACAGTATTAGAGATGTGGTCCCTTACCATCTCATTAAGCAGCACAGAAACTTTTGTATTAAATTTTTTCACTCTGGCCATGATAAAATTTGTGTTACAGACTGTGGACCTAATCCTACAGCCTGTCTGCATCTCAACCTCCCACTGCTCAGCAGGATGATCCCAAGAGCCTCAGGAACTGCAGCAAAGGTTTGTGGTTTTCAGAACGTAGAATACACAGGTCAGGACAACATTAAGAATGCATTTTTTTTTAAATAAAGATACTGAGATGAGCTTCTTCCTAAAGAAAGCCTAACAAACAAAAGAAATCTACAAGATCTTCATTAATTAGACACAGCTGGAATAGTCTCAGTGATGTGTGGATTATTGCTTTCATTTTGATACATTAGTATTTGCTTCCAAATTATGCACAAGAATTAACAAAGACAATTATTAGGGAAAAAATAGTAAGTGAAAAAGAGTTGTTCTTGTAGTACTACAATGGCTTCAGGAAAAAAGCAGCAACAAAAACTCCACACACCAAAAAAATTCAAACCCCCAAAACACCTTAGCATTAAAAACCAGTTTATCCACTATTCAAACTACAGTCTTGCTTAATCACGTTACATCAAAGTGGTTGCTGAAGTGTGACAAAGGGCACCAGAAACAGCAGCTTATCCAACCACTACCCAGTTCATGCAGAGGAAATGGGATTTTGGCATCTTCCATATTTTCCTTTTTGCCATCTAAAGTTACAGCACCTCAGCACAGGTTACAGCACATCTTGCCCAGGAACTCTCTGGTAAACATATTTTTAGCCTTCCTTCTCCTCTGCCCACCCCCACAACCTTTTTTCTTTTTTTTTTCTTCTTCTTTAGTTGGAAGGAAAAAAAGGAAACAAATGGTTTGAATGCACATGTGGGATGGTTTCTGCTAGTTTGCTAATACATACTATTTTTCAAAAATGCTGCAAGGTAACTTACAAGGCTGATTCCCTGAGAGCCTCCTTCCTATAGCATATTATTAACTTATACTTTTATTTGAAACTGTAATTCTTTAGTTTTTAGTTTGGGTTTCAATTCAGTCAATACTCCAGATTCAAAGATTTTGGGAAGTGATAATAATGAGTTAAAAAAATCAGTAGATATTGAAAATATCTCCCCCCCCATTTTCTTGTCATAACATCTTTGAATTTACTTTCCTTGCTTTATGTGTGTAATGTTCAGTCCAATAGTGGGTGGAAGGTGGAATTGTAGAGCCTGGAAGGGGGCTTAGATATAACTTATCCCTCAAAGCCATCTCCTACATCAAAGTACATCTCCTACATCTTTTCGGGCCAAAAGCTCACAATGTTGACAACATCCAGTTACATGGTAAAAGCAACAGTCGCCCTTCTGTTTCAAGGAACTCTGGCTATGAAAAAAAAAGGCCTGCAAAGATGTTTGTGGCTGCTCATCACCGTGTCACCTAAATGTAATCTCTTCATGATATCATGGATAAAATCTTGGTCTCAGTCATTTTTCTTTCTCATGTGTACATATAAAATAGCAGAGAAAGTGAATGTTATTGTTTTAAACTCCATTATGGAACTTTGCGGAAGTGTTTAGCCAAGATATATGCCCAATACCACTGAAAAAATGCCTCTCAGAAACAATAAAACAGCTACTGGACATGTCCCTATTTTGGGGGAAACAATACTATGGCATTCCTTATGTTTTATCCAGGAAGCAACACCTGGGTCATTCCCTTCATACATCTGGCAGAGTGAGAGGAAGGAAGAGCAGGAAAGGGTATGATTCAGGAGGGGATAAGCACTCCACTCACACCTCATTCAGAAAATAAGTATTTTGAATCAGAACATTAACCCTGATGCCCCAGGCAAAATTCCAGTTTGAGCTATTCCATCCTGCCCACCCAAAATTTCTCGGGGCCGATTCCCTTCCCCTTTCCCACAGCAGCAAGCAAAACACCAAGTTGTATGCTGTGCTACTGGCAGAGAAATAGTTACCGACCTTCCCCCCCTCAAGAGCCAGGTGCATTTCTGCAGTGGGGGAGGAAGGAGAAGATGCATTTCAGGGACGCATGGGGTAGAGCTGACAGTAGCACGTTCATCTGTTGCAACTGCCTGTGGGCTTTTTTAAAGTCCTGCAACTGTTTGCTAAGTCGACTGTGGCAATCACAGCAGTGGGAAATTCCATGTTTCAGATATGACCAAAAGCAGTAATTCTACAGAACTGATGGCACGAGGAAAGCCCACACATTGACAACATTATAAACAAAACAATGTTGCTCTTCAGGGAAGATGGAAAGTTCGGGGAGAACTTTGTAGAGTAGGGATGCTGGTTTGACTCGGTGATCCCAAGGGTCTTTTCCAACCTGAATAGTTCTGAGTTTCTATTAAAATAACCCTTGCTGCAGTCTACCCTCCTACAGGGAATGGCACTTTTAAAGCAAACAAACAAAAAACCACAGTGATGCTTAAGGGAAGAATATAAAACAGGGAAAAGTATCTTCCACATAAGTCAAATTTAACCTATTTGATAAACCTTAGTACACCATCAAATCTCCTTTTTTGCCCCATCAAGTAAACCTTTTAAATAATGCCCAGCTAACAAAGGAAACCTTGAAGCCAACTACTGAACCTCTGCTCACAAGAAGGAGAACAATTTAGCATTTTACCTCTTGGTAATCTGTGTAGGATCCTGTAGGCCTGGATCCAGTTCAAAGATCTCATTATCCAGTAGCCTGCGCAGTGTCACATCTGCCAGTTGCTCCATGATCCTGAAAGCCTCATTGATGTTGAGGAATGTGGAGAAGTCACGTTCTTTATTGGGAGTGGTGACACGGACAGTGTCAGTCATGAAGACATTGGAGGTTCTTTCCAACTTCTGGACCTCAACCCAAGGAATTATAAGCTTCACTGTCATCAGAGAAAAAAGCAAAGTTGGTCAGAAACACTGCTTACATTTTTCAGATTTGGGAAATAAGCAAATTCAGAATGAAATGCAAACATCCAAAGAGGAGACCCATTTTTACAGACAATGACCAGGCAAAAGCTGAAATGCCTGTTATCACTCTGCATTCATTCTCCTCCAGTCCAAAAGTTCAGAATCCCTCCTTCAAAACTGTACCTATTTTCACAAGAAGAGATGGGCTGGGGTGTCCTACCTCTGCAGAACACCTGCCCTACACTGTGCTCCCAACTCCTTTGTAAGTCATTTCTGCAGCCTCCTTCATTGCTACCAAAAGAAAGATTTCCCCTTCAAGAGTACGAATAAAATAGAGAAAGGCTTTGTCATCTCCCAGAAACAAAACTGTATGCAGGTGGAAACCCAATTATGTGCACAGTACTTTAACTTTCAAAATACAGCTAACTCAAGTCACAATTAAAGATTGTGGAAGCTTTTGTACATAGAAATTTTTATAAAGTTTAAGTGTTACTATAAACAGCATGTTAAAAAAATAAGAGCCACCTTGGCATTGGGACCTTCCCATTTTTGGTTACTTTTTACTTAAAAGGTGCACAGACAAATCTTGCCCTAAACATTGGCTGTAGTCAGACCTGTTTATAGAAAATAGAAAGCATAGGACACTGTTCTCTATACCTAAATACTGCAGAATTATATAAAAACAAATGGTAAACAGAAACGGTTTATTCTAGATAACAACTGACGGATGGTATTTGCCTCTCATATGAATCTCTGGGTAGAAATAAGGCTGGAGAGGACTTTAAAATAGATTAGATTTCTACTTAACAACTGCTGGAAGCTTCCCAGGATTCTCTGTGCCAATAACATCAAGATTACACTCCCTAACATCCCTAGCCAGTCTCCTGAAGCCAATAAAGCAATAAAAAGTCAGTAATAACAAACATTGTAATATATGTATGACGATTATCCACGATCACTAATTATCTAAGGAGCTACCCTCAACAAGTTCTCTGTAATACGTGAGCCACAGCTGTCAAGTTTTATTTGGAGATTACATTTTTTCTTACTTAAAGCCCAGCTGCATCAACACACACAAACTGTTGCAAATGGTCATAAAATCATCTGTACAGGCACAGCCAAGGGAAGAAAGATTAAACAGTGCCATAGCAATAGCACTATTGTTCATGCAGGTCAGAATCACACAGGCTCTACAGTGCTGGTTATAGAAAAAGCACAGCTGACTGCAAGGGGCCCAAACCTCTGATGAAAGGTACAATGTCTTACAAGTTGCAAAAAAACCACAAGTTTAATTAAAAAATGTGAAGAAACCCTGGCATGTCCTTTCAAGAAATCTGGTGTTCTAAGCCTCTGAAATGCTGCAAATACTTCAAGGCTTACATAAAAGGGGACTTGTCCTGGAAAAAATGTTCCATGGAGTTTATGCTCGCATAAGTCTTAAGTTAATTTTATGAGAAGCTGAAAAAAGGTTCCAATATTGCATTCCAGGTCATTTCAACATAAAACAAGACAAGGGGAAGGGGACAGTCTTGCCAGAAGCAGAAGACTTAACACTTTGTCTATAAAGAGATTTCAGTCTACAATTTGAGGGGATTGTTAGAGTTAAAGCACATGTAAGAACTATTTTGATTGCAGCTTGTATATTGTGTTTTATCCACTGTACTGTGTTGAAGAATGCAATAAATATGGTTTGTTAGCAATATTTTCTAGACCAGAGTCAACCCAATTTAATTTGCAATTACTACCTGGAAAAAAAAAAAAAAAAAAAAAGACAAATAATTATTCATTCTACATATCATCAGCACCAGCTTCTCCAACAATCCCAAGCAGAACTACAGTAACTCTGGATTCTTCGGTGTAATGAAAGTATTTCATAAATGTAAGAAAATACTAGCTTTGAAACAGAAGCTATTTGCTCTATCAGAATCAGGATGGTGGAAAGCACTTCACACCAAGCTACAGAAGTTTTGTTTCACCAAAAAGAAAATTCAGGGTTTTATTTCACATTTCCATGCAAATGCACGGAGGCAATGCAACTGACTGCCAACAGTGAACAAAATGTGTAATTTCCATGGTCAAAATGAAAAGCTGGAAACATCTAGTTGTTTGGGAGTTTCCTGCATTTTCATAATGAATTTTTATTAAAAGAGATGAGAAGTGATTTCTTAAATAACACAGCATGATGTTGCACTTCCAGTATAATTTAACTATCTGTGGTACTGCATAAAAACCCCAAACTTTTTTAATAATATGAAGGATTTTTCTCTCTCCCCCATTACTCCTTCCCCTATTATCTGTCATTACTAAGTATAATTTTTGCCTTGTGCGTTTTGGCAGACTGGGTATCTCAGATTTAATGAGAGAAAGCTTGCCATGATAGCAAGAAGAAATAATTGACAAGGATATTACTTGATATTAAACAGAAAACAAGGATATTAAACAGGAATTCAAATATCTAATATGTATCAGATATTCCATTCTAGTTTTCCCAGCAAAAATCACCACTGGTTTTTATCATGAGTAACAAACTTACCAGCATTTTAAATCTAACCCTCCCACCTTTTGCAGATATGACAAAATAACCGGCCTGAAATAATATAAGGAAAAAGGACCTCTAAATCTGTTTTCATATATTTTAAGTCTTAGAAATTACCCATTACTATCTTTCTCATTTTTATATTAATGTACTTAATTTTTAAGTCTACAGTTTTACTTGACTACTGATCATAACAGTAAACCCAGGCAGTAAATTTTAAAGTTATCCTAATTGTTATAACTGACAATTTTTACCTTTTGATATCTATTACATTAAATGTTATCTTCTTATATTATTCTGGCAGGCCACACACATAACCACACAACCCTTTGTAGAGGAAGACCTCACTTCTTAAAAATGTACGTTTGTTATAGTCACTATTACAAACACTATCTGGAGGTCTAAAAGCCCTAGGACACACTTTTTGTGACCTTCCTGCACTGCTATTCTGAAACACAAATAAATCCTTACATTCCTCTTGTTTTTCCTTAAAAACCCTGAATTTTCACCTGGTTCTTCAGGGCACAGCCCTTTTATGTTTCCTGGCCTGTTTCCAGGCAGGCAGCTGGACCTGGGCATCCTTTGCCCCACCAGGCCTGGTCCTGCTGCCCAGCAGCAATCGCTCCACTTCCCCACTAGTGAGAGGGACCTGCTCCTTAATCATCCTTTTTGGCACTAGAAGTCTCTATTTTGGAATCTGCAGGAGGTCTGTTACTTTTTAAGGTTGCTTCACTATAGCAAGGAAAAGAACCAGAGAGCAGCTGTGCCTGCATGTTCTTCTATTATCTCATTTTTATTAGCAGATTAATACTAAGATATAAACATTAAGGCAAAAGTAAAAAATAAATTAAACAGGATCTTTCTGATGAAAAACAAAATCCTCAGAAATTAAACTTCAGAGGCAAACAAGGCTTTTCACAAAAATTCTAGCTATTCCTGCTTTTAAAAATAGTTATATTTACATCTCTCCCTAGCATTACATATACACTTACACTCTTTGCCCAGGAAGAAGGAATAAAAACAGAGATGATTGATGCTCAAGTAAAGCCAGCCTTGCCGAGGAACTTTTCCTTTCCAACAGCAACAGGAGTAATAGGTGATCAGCTTCTCAGCTTCAGGAAAATTAAATCTGGACTCAAACTTCACCAGGGCTTCTCGGAATTTCTCAGGGTCTTCCTCCTGCTCGGCGAGTTTGCTGCTCGTTTCCTCTGCAATCAGTGCCTGAGTCCATAATGAGATAATATATCAGGATGCATTCACACAGGAGCAAGTTGCTACAAGCTACTCATGCAAATTTTAACAATGCAACTCTTTCTTACAAAGAAATTCAAGTTGATTTGCAATTTTCAGAAATGGATGCATTTCTGCAGCGTTTGCATCTCTCATACATTTTGAATGCTTCCAAATCAAGACTTTTGGGGCCTTTTTCTCTATTATAATTTTTTCAATAAGTCTGACAGAACTGTGTATTTACAATTTCACAACCTCCTGGTAAATCTGCTAAGGCACATAGAAAATAAGGTGACTGGTGACAGCCAACATGGCTTCACCAAGGGCAAATCATGCCTGAACAATTTGGTGGCCCTTTATGACAAGCCTACAGAGATGGTGGATAATGGTAGAGGAACTGATGTAATCTACCTGGATTTGTGGAAGGCTTTTGACACTGTCCCACACGACATCCTGATCTGCAAACTGACAAGATACAGATTTGACAAATGAACCACCTGGTGGATATGTAATTGGCTGGATACCCACACCCAGAGAGATGTGGTCAATGGTTCAGTGTCCAAGTGACAAGCAGTGTTCCTCAGGGGTCATTATTGGGACCAGTGCTCTCCAACATCTTTGTTGGAGACATGGACAGTGGAATTGAGTGTATCCTCAGCAAGTTTGCTGACGATACCAAGCTGCATGGTGTGGTTGACACCCTAGAGGGAAGGGATGCCATCCAGAGGGACCTTGACAGGCTGGGAAGGTGGGCCAATGCCAACCTCATGAAGTTCAACAAGGTCAAGGTCCTACACCTGCGTGGGCACAACCCCAGGCACAAATACAGGCTGGGGGGAGAATGGCTGGAGAGCAGCCCTGAGGAGAAGGACTTAGGGGTGGTAGTTGATGAGAAGCTTGACATGAGCCACCAGCGTATGCTGGAGCCGAGAGAGCAACTGCATCCTCGGCTGCATCAAAAGAAGTGTGGCCAGCAGGGCCTGGGAGGTGATTCTGCCCCTCTGGTCTGGTGAGACCCCACCTAGAAAACTGTGTACAGTTCTGGTGCCCTCAGCACACGAAATACATGGAGCTGTTGGCGAGGGTCCTGAGAAGGGCCGTGAAGATGGTCAAAGGGCTGGAGCACTTCTGTTGTGAAGACAGGCTGAGAGAGTTGGGGCTATTAAGCCTGGAGAAGAGAAATCTCCAGGGAGACCTTATAGTGGCCTTCCAGTACCTGAAGGGCCTACAGGAAAGCTGGGGAGGGACTTTTCACCAGAGAGGGTAGTGAGAGGACAAGGGGTAATGATTTTAAACTGAGAGAGGGGAGATTTAGGTTAGACATCAGGAAGAAATTCTTTACCATGAGGGTAGTAAGGTGCTGGAACAGGTTGCCCAAGGAGGATGTGGAAGGCCCCTCTCTGGAGCTGTTCAAGGTCAGATTGGATGAAGCTTGTGCAGCCTGGTCTAGTGCAAGGTGTCCCTGCTTGTGGCAGGGGGGCTGGAACCTGGTGAGCTTTAAGGTCCCTTCCAACTTAAACCACTCTACAATTGCTGTTATTTGGTGTATACAGAGCAAAGGTAGAGTAACAATTGTGAATACTGACCATTTCTACTTTCCTATGCAGAGGCAACACAGTGAGATGTGTCAGTAACCTGTAAAAGGCTTTGAACCATTTAAAACATAGTTTCAAGAACATCTATGTAAATATAATTAAGCGTTGAGAATTTCAGTAGTGGTATTACCACATAGGAGTTAATGTTTTGCACTATTCAGACAAATAATCTGTTATGTTACAGCACCTGGTATAATTCCCAATCACCAAGCAGTCCTACTATGCCAAAAATCCACAGAAGAGGCAAGGGTCCAAAATCTGGGCTGAACATTAACTAATAAAACCTGAAGACTTTAAAATACGCGCTGTGCTAGGTAACAGGCTGTCACAGCGTTATCAAGGCAGATGAATTGTATACAAGCCTTTCAGTGCACTTAAATAAAGTGGGTTTTTAAGAAAGTAGGAAAAAAATAAGAATTTGCACAGTGATGTTTTACCTCCCTGTCCTCTTCTTCCCCAACTTCAGAGTTCACTGAGATCACAGCAGCAGGGTTGAAATCCACCAAACATCACATTCCTACAAATTTTCCAAACCTAAGAAAGGAGTATGGTGGAGCACCACACGAAAACTCTTAGCAAACAAAAGGTTGCAGAAGGACATGAGGTGACTCACGCTCTCACCAGCCATCAGCAAAGCTCCTCTTGAAGTGTGGATTTACTAGAAGCAGAGCACAAGGCACCAAGCTTTCCAAGTTTTACCTCACCTGCCATTACTATTTTATATCTGGTCTTCAGTTACCAAATTCCCCTACTTTTACAATTCTAGAGCCTTCCAAAAGGATGCGAATTTCTGCAACCCTGTGGCCAGCCAGCAACTCCACTGCAGTCCCTGGCCACGACTCTTGCATCCTGTAAAGCCACCAGCAGCTTCCATGCCAGATCCTTACAAAACAGGTAACACTGAACAAGGTCCTTCCTCCCTGTCCCTCTGCTGCAGGGACTAAATTGTTGTCCCCAGGGTTGAGCTGCCAGCAGGTTCAGGCACTGTGGCTATCACCTGCAGACACCTCCAAGCCCTAATGAGAAGGATGGGAGTATGGAAATGAGCAGAAACAGGCAGGAGACACTAATATGATAAAGCTAGGAAAAACATGGGAGATAAGAGGAGAAACGTAGAAAGGAGAAGAAGCTAAGATATAACACAGAAAAGTATTTAACATCATGTTTTGAACAGATGGAGAAACAGAAAGCAGATGCTGTAGAAAACTCAGCTGTGCAACACAGGGAACAGAAGAACAGTGAAGCTGGGAAGGGATGGCTGGGATATAGATTGCAGTAGATGCTTGAGTTTTGAGATGTTTCCAAGGAAATGGGAGTAAACATGCACAGACGCCAGCCACATCAGCTGCAAGTGCCACACAGAAAACCAGTAAATGTTTAGATGGACAAAATCAAATATGAATGTCAACAACTTCATGACATTATTTCTAATAAGCCACATGTAATCAGGCAAGGAAGAGTGAGAGTAAGACAGTCTCCTTACCTTCACCTTCCCTTTGACAAAATTAACAATATCTTCTTTATTGTCAAACACAGACAAAGTATGGAGCAAGTTTTGTTCCAGCCATTCCCAGTGCTGGTTTATCTCCTCTGCAGTGGCACCTAGAAAAGCAAAAAGTAATGTATGAAACTCATGCTACAAAATAAAATGGAAAGGAAGAAAATAAGTAATAACACACAATTTCATAAATTCATTATGAGAAACTGAACTTTCAACCTCAAAATTCTTGGTAGCAAACAGGTCAAAAAGGTCTCATTCGTGGCAGTACAGTTAAGAGAAAAACAAAACCCTCATTGTTTTAGAGAATTAGTTTTAGTGCTTTTAGTTTTATCTTTTCAAACACTCTCAGCCAGCAAATGCTGCACTAAAAGTCAAAGCAGTAAAACCAGCAAAACTTCATCCTGAGCTACTAAACTACAGCTTATTTTGACATGACGTTCCTTAAGCAGCCACTGAAAACCTTTGACTTATGTCCTTGTTCCCAGAAGTCCTTGATCTTCCTTTCTCCCTCCCTCAGTACGGACACGCATACACACAGCCCCCCCTCACACAGGCACATTCTTTGAGAGGAATATACATGGCTGTAATCCCCATCCTATTTGTAAAGCTCTCTGTAATCATTTAAATACCTCAAAATAAGACTTTGGCCCAGCAATATCTAAAAGGTCAACAAGAACACATTTCTGCAGTTTGGGGAAGAAATACAGTGAGCAGAAAATCTTTGACAAATACTGATTTTCAAACCTTTAAGGCTTCCTCCTCTAAGGATTTACTTGAGGGTTTTTGCTGTTGGTATTTTAAATGTAATGTGTTCACACTAACTCCAGAAATAATATTTCAGTCACCACCTACTTGCTTTGGCTGTTTCTGCTTGAAAATGAACTGTCACTAGATCACACCATGACAGAGAAGTCAGTGCAAGGTGGGCAACATATAGGGCAATCAGGGGAAAATCTGGCCCCTCAAGGTCTTACTGGTCAGTGATTAAACGTTACAGGTAAAAAAGTAAAGACAGCAAAAGTTCCTTTTCCTAATTCCTTGCTCTGGAAGAAATAGGCTGTTGGATATAAGATACAAATCACGGATGAATGTGATAATAAAATTAATCTCAAATAGAAGTCCTGGCATCTCAACACTCGATTTGTGTGGACATTAGAGATGCATCATGTTGCCTCACAACAAAAAAAAAATTAAGTTTAGCTAAGGATTTTCCACTTTTCCTCTGCTCTGTTTTCCATGCAGAATGCCAACTGGCAGGCAAACTTTCCAAGCTTTAACTTCCTTAACAGGAAGGTCTTGTGATGGAACTTCATAAATATCATTAATCAAGGTTAAATTAAAAAAAAAAAACAACAACAACCATGGAAGAAGAGATGCTTAAATGTCCTCTAGGTAAAGAAAACAAATTGTATTAGTCATTAAGAATACTGCGAATATAGTAATTTTATATTGAAATAGCTGCACAAAGCAAATATTGATTTCAATTTTTATTTCTGAGCAACCTAAAAGATGCCACCTGTATGAGAGAGCTGGTGGGCTGCCTCTTATGAAATAAGGCATGAGCAAGATGCCTTTCACAGCAGCATCCACACTGCTCAGACTGTTCTGAGCCTGGGATCTGGCAGTGGACATCTCCCACTGGGACTACTGCAATCCTTCCAGTCTGCCTTCAAGTA